AGCCAAGTCTCCTGTCCGCCGAGGACGCGTCTAGTCTCTATATTTCAGCGGGGGCCGCACTGGCTCGTGGGTGTCCTCCGCGCGGACGCCCGCCTTCAGGCGGGGGGGGGGGGGGGGGAGGGGCGGGAGGCTGCTGGGTGAGGGTGAGCGGATAAGCAAAAAAAATGAGCGACGGCGCAGGGATTTGAACCCTGGCGCTCAGAGAGCAATTGATTTCAAGTCAACCACCTTAACCACTCGGTCACACCGTCCACACACTAAGACCTACGAAAATCCGCAATCATACTTCTATCTCATATTATATTCTCGCCCCACCTCCACACAAACACAAACACACACACACACTGGCCCACATCGCCTGCACCTGTCTTCACCATGCAGCGACAGACTGCCACGTATCTCGTCTTGGTCGTCCTCGCAGTGTACCTCCTCTGGCCCTCGGCGCCACCGTCCCCGCTGCGGCCGTCGCTCGTCCCGGCGGCGTCGCCTGCCGCCCTCCGCCGCTCGCTCTCTGCGGCGCGGGTGATAGAGATGGCAACGCAGAGCCCGCTGTACAACGTCCGCGTCCCGGACACGCCCGGGCATGCGGCAGCCAAGGCATGGCTCATGGCGCAGCTCCGGCAGATCGACGGCTTTGAGCTCACTGTCCACGAGTTTGTCGATGATACGCCGCTTGGGCGCAAGGCGTTTGCCAACCTCATCGCGTCGTCCGCCCCGGATGCCCCGCGCCGCATCGTCCTCGGCGCCCACTACGACTCGAAGCTTTTTGATGGCTTTGAGTTCCGCGGCGCCATCGACTCGGCCGTTCCCTGTGCCATGCTCCTCGAGCTCGCCGCCGGCCTCAGCCCGCTCCTTCCCTCCGCCCCGCCCGACCTCGGCTTTGACATTGTCCTCTTTGACGGCGAAGAGGCCTTTGTCGATTGGACGGCCACAGACTCGATTTACGGCGCCCGTGCTCTCGCTGCAAAGTGGGCCGCCGAAGACCGCCTCGCCCGCATCGAACTCTTTACCCTCATCGATCTCATCGGCACCGGCCGCCACGTCTTCCACGACGCCCATCCGGCCTCCTCGGGCGTCTTCAACCGCCTTGCCGACATCGAGGCCGCAGGTCGCGCCGCCGGTTGGATCTCCGACTATCAGACGCCGTCGTACTTTCGTCGCGGTCCGTCGCGCATGACCGTCGAGGACGATCACATCCCCTTTCTCCGCCGCAACGTCCCCGTCCTCCACCTCATCCCAGTCCCCTTCCCCTCTTCCTGGCACACACACGCCGACTCTGCCTCGGCGCTGGAGCCCAAGCCTATCGCCGACATTCTCGGCATCCTCGCCGAGTGGCTCCACTCTCTTGTCCGGCCCGCCGCCCGCCGCAACCTCCGCCCGCGCCGCCCCGCTCGTCCCCGCTCGTAACAAGAATCAGTACCTGTGCTTTGCGCCTCTTCCGCCGCTCCCCATCCTCATTCCAAGCTCATCGACACACCTTCCCGACCGTGATTGTCCTGCTGCTCTTCAGCCGATGCGCAGAAAGTTGTGATCGCTCGATTTCTCTTGTCACACTTTTGCGTCATCACACGTAACACCAACACGCAACACACGCGCACACATGCCACCACACTGCCCCACGCTAGCACCGACCATTTCCCTTTGTGACACAGATGTCCTTTAACTTGCTTCTCATCCTCTCTCTCTGCCTATCGCTCTAGATCCTTTTCGCATACGATTGTCCAACCTTTTAATAATCGTAGCCATCGCCATCTCTCCCATCCTCCCATCCTCCCCATCACACCAATCCCATACCCCTCCCCTAATCCCCCCTCCCCCGCTCCCGTTGCATCCTGCTATCCCACTATCCCGCTCTCTTGGCTCACATAGTCGCCCTTTCCCTCCCACGATTATCCAACGTTCATTTAATCGTGACCATCGTTCTCCCCATGGATCCCTCGGCCTCTCTCCCCCCCCCTCCCCCCCTTCCCTCTCCATCATCCCCTCTTCCCCCCCCCATCCCCCCCATCCCCCCCATCCCCCCGCCCCTCCCCCGATCACCAATCAATCCCTCTCCTCTTCCCCCCCTGAT